TAGAAATAAAACTTATTATTATTATTATTATTATTATTATTATTAAATCATGTTCATTTAGTTTGTCAGCAGGGGTGTGGTCTAGCATTTATGATCCAGGTACCGATGGATCACATGGGCCTGAGACTCCATTATTGACCTTAACAGAAGGCAAATTGGTGTAAAGAAAAGTTCTTTACGTTTGGTTAAACCCCTGATATAGATAGTACTGGGCAAGGGGACAATTGGCAATTTCTTTGAAACGCATATTTCCTGATATTGGCACTGAAGAGAAGAAGAACACAACTCTGTAAGTGATGTGTCATCCTGTTCTTATGGCAACTATGGGACTGGGCTGTATTTATATATAAGAGATTTATATATAACATTGTTATTGGGAATGTTATTTTTTTAGAACTTTAATTTCAGCAACTAGCTGGAGATCAGCAGTGAAATGGAAAAGGGACTGTGCCATGCATCATATTCCACTTGGGTCTCCTTGTGTTAAAACATAGATTTTTTTTCTTTTCTGTAGAACTCAACCATGCTAAATAGGCCCTAATGGTTGCCAATTTGGTGACTGAATGAATCGGTAATTGTGTGTATATACATGTGCATTACAATGAATGTGATGGACTGTGAAGCCATGCTTTCAAATGTATTTGTGTGCTGGAAAGTTGCAGAAAGGCTGGAGCTTTTATTTTGACCCGCCTGCAAAGATTTCAGTGGGCTATCATTAGAAACCTTGGTTACCTTATTTTCTCCTAATGGTGCATGTTGATAGGCGCATGGAGTTCTGCTGGCAGTGGATTCCAGAGAAGGGGACAGCAAATTAGCAGGAGTAGAATTCTTCCTTTGGATCCACTAATAAAAACTTATCAGGTATATTTTGCTAACAGAATTTCCTGCGTGCAGTTGCAGAGCTAGATACAGTGCCATTAAAGATACCTAAGGGGCAACAGCATCTCTCTCCGCATTTTGTATCGTTTGGTAATCGACTGGAAACTGAGGAAACAGTACCTTAAAAATTTGAATAAATGGGATGTATGACTCTTTGGTTTGCTGCTCCTCCTGTCTCTTAGTGCTCCCAGGTATGCTGGTCTACTCTGATTGGCTGTGTTGCCTGGGGATAAATGAGTGTTGTAATCTAACACATCTGGAGAGTACTAGGTTAGGGAACTGTTGGTGTGCCATTTGAATTAACAGGAATCCATCTCAAGATTGGCATAGACCCTTTGTAGTTCTGTGGAACTGAGGGCAGTTGGGGAGTCTTTCCAAATCCTTCAACTTCTGTTAGCCCACTGGGCGCGGGGAAGAAAGAACATGACACTTACTTTATAATTGTATCCTTACATAATTTTTACATTGATAAATGTAAATTGATAAAAGATGACATATAAATGAAAATAATGAATAAATAGTCCCCATTCTTTTAATTCTCTTGACAGGAACATCAAGTGTGGCTAGAGCATGGAGTGCGACATTCGATGAACTTATTGGCAGGCACATTGAGAAATTCTTTCAGCAGTACATGTCTATGAACGCTCCTGGCGTGCTGGCAAAATACCCAGATGTCTTTTCTGTTGTCATTATCCTAATCTTGACAGGTGAGAGAGAGAATGAAAAAAATGCTGGTTTGGGAAGGCTTTTCTAAAATGATAATTCATTACCCTTCTGCAATGTCGTTGACATTTACACTAAAGGCAAATACCGTTATTCATTTTGTTCTTAAAATTTTCTTGTTTGCTAAAGATGTCATGTTTAACCTAGTGAATAGCTGCAGAATTAGATCTTTTGTGGCCTCCTTAAGCTTGAAATTGGTTTTATTTTGAAGATGGACTTAGACGCTTAAATGAAAATGGGTAATGAGCGACAGTACTGCTTTCTACCATACATTAAATACCGTAATTTCTGGAGTATAAGATGACTGGGCGTATAAGATGACCCCCAACGTTTCCAGTTAAAATATAGAGTTTGGGATATAAGACAACCCCTCTTCCCAACGGGGGGAAATGAGAAAGTTTTGGCGGGAAAGGACTGCCAATATACTAGGTGATGCATTCTGCGGTATGTACAATTTGCGCCCAAGTAAGTGACCCTGGGGGTATTACACACTCTCAGCCTCAGAGGATGGTAATGGCGACCCCCATTTGAAGAAACATGCCAAGAAAACCCCATGATAAGGTTTCCTTAGGGTCGCCATAAGTAGGAAAGGACTTGAAGACACACAAGAACAACAAAAAAGTCTGCAGTTGTTTTATAGGTAGTACATGGGAATAGGAGGCAGCATGGTGTAGTGGTTTCAGTGTTGGACTACCACTCTGGAGACCTGCGTTTGATTCCCTACTCTGCCATGAAACCCACTGGGTGAACTTGGACAAGTCACACACTCTCAGCCTCAGGGGAAGGCAATGGCAAACCTCCTCTGAACCCCAGGACGGGTTCACCTCTTATCCGCTGCTACTTCCTCCTCCTGCCTCATGCCACACCATGCCACCCCTTCC